TGACGTTGCGGGACCGTTTCCGGAAAGTGAAAGTGGTAACAAGTATTTCATGGTTGTGATGGATTACTTCACTAAGTGGCCAGAAGTCTTCGCCATTCCAAATGAAAAAGCTTCAACAGTTGCAGATAAACAAGTTCATGAAGTCTTCTGTCGTTTTGGAGTACCCTTAGAGATTCACAGCGATCAAGGAAGGAATTTTGAGTCTCAAATATTCCAGGAAACTTGCCGAGTTATGGGTACTCATAAAACACGAACAACTTCTTACCACCCACAATCTGATGGAATGGTATAACAATTTAATCAGACATTGGAGAGGTACCTAGCAAAAGTTGTGGAAAAACGGCAACGTGACTGGGACAGGCACATACAACCGTTCACGAAACTACCTCAGTGACACCAGCTTTCGCAAACTTTGGGAGCGAATTACGGCTGCCTGCAGACCTGATCATCGGAATACCACCTGATGCCCCACGCAGTATAACCGATTATGCAAATGACTTGCGGAACAAAATGAATGACATTTATGAGCACGTCAGACAGTCGGGCCAGCAAACGTCTGAGAAGATTAAAACACGGTGTGACCGCAAAATGAACAACAAAGGGTTTGACGAAGGTTCACTAGTGTGGTCACACAATCCAGCTCGCAGCAAAGGGAAATCTCCTAAGCTTCAAGCTAAATGGGACGGACCGTACCCGATTGTGACGAGGATCAATGACGTAACCTACCGGATACAGAAAGGTGCCAGAGGTACTCCTAAGATCGTCCATGTGGATAGGCTGGCGCGTTATTATGGGGCCAATAATGCTCGGCACGAGCATGTCTTAGGAGGGGACAGTGTTGCGCGCCACTACACGTCTTGTACATGGCAACACTAGTTACACTAGCGCCCTCTAGTGTCGAGTAGCAGAACTAGGAGAGTCGAGATCCTTCCAGAAATTTCGGGACCGATATGTACTCGTACATTCTAGATGTCGCTACAGTAGAAGGTTCTCGAAACTATCTGAGGTCCTATATAAGGCCGGTATAGACCACGACCGGGACAGTATTGAATTGGCGATACAATAGAATACTTCGAAGCGAAATAACGGCAAACTGTGTTTTATTATTAGTGTGATTTTAGATTGTAATTAGTGTTGTGTAATTAAAGTGTCAATTTTGGTAATCCAATCGGCAGTCTTTAATTGTCTCGAACCCCAAGCACGTAACAATATTATAATAACCCTTTTTGTACAGTTTTTCTTTAATAAAACTTTTAAAACTTGTTTATTGACAAACTTTGAACATGTTCTGGGATTTTGTTGTAAAACCGTATACATTGCCCCATAAATGAATTACTAATTCTTTGGAGTCTAGTAACTGGCATTACAAGCTTATGTTTGTTCGTAGTGTTTAAGATATGAACATCATTATTCTTATTAAAGCTATTTATGTTTTTATGTACATACATTACATTTTCATAAATATATTGCGATGCCAAAGTTAATATGTTAAATTTTTCTCTGAGGGACTCTTTACAATTTAGGTTATAAATTGCCCGTACGGCTCTCTTTTGCAAAACAAATATAGCTTCAATATCAGTCGCATTACCCCATAGCAAAATTCCATAAGACATTACGCTATGAAAGTAATCTATCTGTCTCAACATCTGTGAGACTTCTAATCTTTCTTACAGCTTATGCTGCAGAACTAAGTCTGCTTGCTAATTTAGATATATGGGGGCCCCATTGAAGTTTCGCGTCAATAGTAATACCAAGAAAAACAGTGGTATCCACAAGACTCAATTCCTCCCCATTTAAGAGCACATTGGTTTTCGAATGTTTTACATTAGGTGTTGTAAATTTAATACATTTTGTCTTTTTGCCGTCTAAGAGCAAATTGTTGGCATTAAACCAATGAACTAATTTCGATAGAGCATTATTTACATCTTCATAATTAATTGACTGCCGTTTTAGTTTGAAAATTAAAGAGGTATCGTCAGCAAATAATACTATATCGTGGTTGTCCCCTACAAGATAAGGTAAGTCATTAATATAGATTAAGAAAAGGAATGGGCCAAGAATCCAGCCTTGAGGAACGCCCATTAATACTACCGATCCCGAGGAACCTTTACCATTTATCACGACTTTTTGAGTTCTATTACTTAAATATGAAGTAATAAGTCTACGCGCCAAATTTTTTACACCGTAATGTTGTAGTTTCCTGATTAATGTCTCATAATTAACACAATCGAAAGTCTTGGAAGGTCACAGAAAATACCTAAGACATCTTGTGAATTCTCCCAGGCATTAAAAATATATTTCATAACCTCAACACCGGCATCAGACGTCGAGCGACATCTTGTAAAACCAAATTGGTTTTTATGAAGTAATTTATTTGTATTAAAAAATAAAAATTAACAATTGATCCAAAATAATTTTTTCAAAAATTTTACTGAAAGTTGGTAGTACAGAAATCGTTTCAAAATTAGCGGGGTCCAATGTACTACCAGATTTAAATAAAGGTATTACTTTACTATACTTTATTAAATCAGGAAACACGCCAGAATCGATACCAGTATTAAAAAAATAGCAAGATGAGGTGCAATTAAATCTATAATGGACGCAATAACTGTAACGGATATCCCCCACAAATCTGCGGTTTTCTTTACATCAATGGTTTTGAAGTATTTCACTATATCTTGCGGTAATGCTATTTCAAGTCTAAATTCTTTTTAACAGGTATTAACATTCTGTTTAAGTAATAACTCGGCGACAGTTGGAGAAGTATTCAATGACTCTGTTGTCAAGATAGGAACATCAGTGAAATATTTCTCAAACACCGCTGCAACTTCTTGATTTGATTTAGTCAATTAATTATTAATTTTTAATTGATAGTTTTAGTTACGACGTTTCTCTTTACCGGTTTCTTGTTAATAATACTCCACGTCATTTTTTTTAGTCTTAGCCGCCTTGATTTTGTTACTAATATTTGGCTGTGGAGCAAACTATTTTAAACATTTTAGAGTATTTTTTTTACATATTCTTTAAAAGCATCGGAAAGATCATATGATCTTTCATGGTAAAAGTCATATAATCTTCGTCTGCTTTTATGAAGTCCTACTGTCGCCCACTCATTACATGCCGACTGTTTCTGGAGAATGTTTTAGAAGTAAATGTTTTATTAAATTCATTGCTTATGAGGGTAAATAATTCTCCATATAAATAGTCTGCATTGTTCTTAAAAGAAAGCGATGGAAGGTTTTTTACCATATTACTTTTAAATCTCTCCACGCGTTTTGCATTAATAGGAACAAACACAATTTTTTCTATTACCTGTTTTTTATGCATATAAGGTAACGAAACCAGCTGTCCTCAGTGATCTAAACTAAGTTTTTGAATTATTGATTTTTTGATTGGTACAACACCTGTAAAAATATTATCAATACAAGTTGCACTACACCCTGCAATACGTGTAGCTTCAAAGAATAAATTATCAAGATTATAGGATTTGAACAAAGAGCAAAATTTAATACTGATGGAAAAAGTTTCCAGGAGATTGATATTAAAGTCTCCACACACTACAAGAGATTTATTCTGTTTATTAAGCTTAAATAAAACTTCTTCCATAATTCTTTCAATATCATAACTTAGGTAGGTATCATAACTTGAACATGGGGGTCTGTAAACACTGACAACAATAAGGTGCTCAAGCTTAACACATGCCATTTATACAGTACGCTCAGCAGAGAGGCTCACAATGTCTTTACGTTCTTTACATGATAAGGATTTATTAGCTAATATTAAGGAGCCACCACGTAATTTAGTATCTCTATTGAACGAACTTACCACCTTGTGATTACTGAGATTAAATATGGAGTTGTAATCTTTCAACCACTGTTCAGTAATACTTAAAATATGAATAAGGTTATTATTTAAAAATAATTCAATTTCTAGTTCTTTGCCTAACATACCTTATATATTTTCATGCACCAGGTTAATACAGTTTCTATTATTGCTATTTTGTGAATTTACACAGTTAAGTATTGTTGAGTTGTATTCTAAGGTATTTAAATTATCTTTGCTAGAGATTATCTCTATTGTCTTATTTAAATTAAATTACTTGTAAAATTTTTTTTCAAGATGTCCCTGGTTTGGTCTAGAAACGTCCGCCTAGGTCTATCCCTTCCAACACTTTCATTCACACTCGCCTTATACACTTTTTTCGTCAATCGTTCTTCATTCATTCTCTCGACATGGCCAAACCATCTCAGCATAGATTAGTTTTATATATTTTATATATATATATATATATATATATATATATATATATATATATTACGAACACTTTCGAGGATAGCTTCTATTCCACTTACCCAAAACACCATATACTTTTTCAGACGGTAGAAAAAGTTACCCAGTATATGGCTCTTTAGTGTTGTCTCAATAAATTCGTTTCAAAATTAAGTGAAAGTATTTGTGTTTACAGCGTTTATAGAATTTTAAATCATCTATGTACATTTTTAAGGCACACTGAAACTTTTTGGCCAAGGCATATAAAAATTATGAATTTCAAAGTACCTAAATGTGAGCCTTGCGGTACACCAGTTGGTATCAGTTTGGGTTTTTAAGTATAATCGCAAACAATAACTGTGACCTGTTTTGTAAATATGATGTATGTATTATGTTATGTTACCAACGCAGTAATTACACAAATTTCCAGCGCTGATATTCTTTTTAGTGAGAGAATGTGATCGCTTTAGTCAAAAGCCTTTCTGAGATCTGTGGTACATATCGTGCAATTCCTCTCCGTCATCTAACGTTTCGACAAGTGTCATTCATAAATCGTGTAAAGTTAAATGCAGTAGATTTTTTGTATAATATAGATGCATCAATCTTTTTTTTTTTGTGGGCCAAAACCTGTGTTGTTCTGGATGGAGCAATCATGTTCGTATTGATAAAAATCGAGATATGTATTACTTGACGCACATGAAGACAAAAGAAAATTGTGTATGTGTGTGCAGACGGGTCCGTCGGAGTGCGTGTGCGTGTGCGGCGCGCGCGCGTGCGTGGAGGCGGAGCGGCGCTTCTGCTGGGAGGCCGTGCCCGCCGAGCGCGAGCGCACGCCGCTCACGCTGCAGGCGCTCGGCGAGCGCGACCGCGCCGCCTGGCTGCGCGCGCTCGATGCCGCGCCCGCCGCGCCGCCCGCCGCGCGCCGCGCGCTGCAGGTGACTGTGCGCAGCTGCAGGTGTAGTGTAGAGCAGGTGCAGCGTGCTGCAGGCGCTCGGCGAGCGCGACCGCGTCGCCTGGCCTGGCCGACGCTTGAAGGTGCAGCGTGCTGCACCTGCAAGCGTCTACTGAACGCAGGTGCTAAAGCACTGTGTTAGAACTTTTGCTACAGATACTGTGGGCTATAGCTGCAATCGACGACACATCATCTTAATTGAATAAAAATATTTATAATAGGGTTGTTATAATGGATTTCCGCAAAGTAACGCCTGAGTCTATCAATTAAAAATATTTATTTTTATTTATTCCAATAAAAAGACAAAATTATCCCCAAAATTAATTCACTCAATGGTAGAGCCACGCGGCAGCTTTTGCTGTCGCACGAATGGGCCGGCTCGAACCGGGGTGGTACCACGACCTCACAGAATACTAGCGTGAAGTAGAGTTTACCTCTGCGTTTCGCTTGGTGAGTGCAGGTGGCCTTTTTACTGGAAATGAGGCATTCCATCTTGGTCCTCACGGGTGACAACGCATCTATCTGCATTTTGATTCGCAAGCGAGGATAGACAGATGTCGATGTCTATGGGTCGCAGTAACCACTTACCATCGGGTGGACTGTGTGCTCGTTTGTCACCCTTATCCTATAAAAAAAAAAACATTTCTTTCTCATAGGTTACTGGTTGTGCGTTCTATAAAAGGCTCATTGCCACTTCGGCTTTCTAATTTGTTAGACTATATTGGTACTCTGGTTCTGTTACGTATATTCTCAATTAGATAAATTTCTTTTCAATTGAAAATCTTTGCAAACGTTTTAGATATTACTTTTATTTCTTTAAAGTAACATTTTTCAAATTAATGAAATAACCGGCTGGTTTTTTTTGTATAGATTTGTTATACTAGATTTTGCATGTGTAACTTACTTAGTCCTGGTTTTCTTCATAGGGTGACGGAGAACCGACATGCGAACTAAACGAGGCGGGCTTTGCCTTTGTGCGTCGCGTTATTGCCATCTTAGAAGCACGAGGTCTTGAGGAACAGGGACTATACAGGTATGTATAGTTAGCTAACGGTAGTAGTGCAATAAGGTAGTACACCTAGCGCCCTTGTCGATTCTTTTCATGTTATTGAGGAAAATAGGTATAAATATATGAATTGTGCTATCATGATGGTTACTAATAGTTATTTAAGTTCTTTTATGAAATTTAAAACTTGTGAACTTTTTTACAGTAAATAAAATGAAAATACTTCTATTAATCGAATCGAAAAGTATTGACAAAAAGCAAATAGGTTTAAGGTATATTTAGAAGCTTAAAAAGCTTTTAATACATTTAGCATCACACTGCCACTTTAAAATTTAAAAATATGTATACAATACTTAATATGTGAATCATTCTTAAATCATAGTTGTCAAATTTGTGTTTGAAAGTCAACCCAATAAAATTGGCTGAGGTGTTCCTCAAGGATCAGTAATAGGACTGTTTCTATTCCATACATCTGTGAATAACGTTAGTTAATTGGTCTCACTGGATAAATCCAAATCAACACAATAGTTAAACAATTGAAATATATGATTCATGGGACAGGGAAAGGATTAAGGTCCCGATAGTCGAGACTCTTCCGCAGTCACTCTTGTGAGAACTGATGTACGGATGTCATATAATCGCTGTTCGATAAATCTGTTCTCTACTTTTACAGTTTTTATGTTTGTGGGCTTAGGAGATTGAACAGTTTTAACCTCTCAGATTCCGACATTATATCGGACCAACTTTGTCAGACCTGTGGTCAGGCCAAGGTCAATATTTTTTTTGGTTTCTCAAACTGACAACTAATGTTTGGAACCTATGCGGTATTAATAATAGCGCCATTGAATGAAATACGTCGGCTTCGCTGGTTGATGTAGTACTTGACACACCGTGTGGATGGCACTGTTACGGAATGATTTCATTAGTAAATAAAACATCATAGTATTTTAAAATCAATAGATAGATACAAAATCAATAGGTGAATTTTAGAGGTTTTCAAATAAATTGGCACTGTAAGGTAGATTTTCTTTAAAACGCTACCACCACACTAGAATTTTCTTCTGTATCGTGGAGGTAGTTTACAATTACAAATTGCTAAAGGACAATGTTAACAGACCCGGAACAATTATTTGTAGGCCATACAAATACTTGTTCCGTGCGGGATTCTAACCCGCGGTCCCCAGCGCAACAACGTATTGCTAAGTCACTGCGCCACGGAGCCGTCAAACAATTTTACAATTGAAATAATTCTGTAACAGCGCTATCTACACGGTATCTGGAGTACTACATTGACTTGCGAAGCCGACGTAATTCTAATAGTAAATTAGCATAAAGGCAGAAGGTCGTAATTTGAAGTAAGTGATCTTAATTTATTTCTCGTATAATCTTAATTCTCGTAGTTTAGTAACGATGCTAATTATAATATTTTTTTTTATTTTTAGTTGTATAATTCTTATAAATAACATTTAAAAAGGATTGTTCTGAGGGGTTTACAAATGTGACATGTGCAAATCCGATGTGTTGGCACTGAGACTCCACAGATTAAGCCCAGTAACAACATTTGTTAATGTGTTAAATACATAATTGGCGTCATCATTCTATCCTCATTAAAAGTCCATTGCTGAAAATAGTCTTCTATCAATTGCCGTAAAGCATGGTACTGAATCACTTGCACCCATTGCTGGATATGATTTATTAAGTATCGACTATGTTGTGGCAATATAAAAGAATCTAATAATATCATCTCTTGGGTGTCGTGAGTGAAAGGCGACGGAAGTAAATGAACAGGAGATAGGCAGCAGCATCTTTCTGATAACAAATCAAAATCCAAAAACTGCAAGCATAGCAACTATGGCAAATATCCTCGCTGTTAGGTAATATATAGGAGAAGTTGATGTTCAGCAGTGGAATTTTGATAGGCTGTAATGACGAATGAATCAGTCTCGACCATATTGACTTGGAACGCAACAAAATTATTTGTGGCATTCCTTAGAAGAGACGTATTATCAGCAGTTGACTTGTGTATTTGTATTTGATTTTTTTTTTATAGAACAAGGGTGACAAATTAGAACAGTCCACCTGAAGGTAAGTGGATTCTGTATCCCATAGATATATTATGTAGATGCGTCTATCCTCGATTAAGAATCAGAATACAGATACGTTGTCATCCGTGAGGACTAAGATAGAATGCCTCGTTTCCAGTAAAAAGGGTCTCCGGTTCTCTACACTCATCATACAATATGCAGCAGCTATTTAACGATGGCGTTCTGTAAGAGCGTGGTCCTTCCTCAGCCGAACCGACCCATTCCTGTTTCAACTATTATATAGCTGTAACATGGTTCTGCCACGTATATAATTGTTACGGCCCGTAGCTGCCCTTGCAAAGGTTCAATATCCGGGGCCCATGAGCGGAAGGTTCAACGGGCAACCGTGGGTTCGAGCCCGAATGGCTATATGGAAATGTCCTATCATAATAAACTATATGGGAGAATGCTAGAAACACATAGTACGTACCAGTATCAGTAGCTAACTTCGCACCAAGGCTCGGTCAGGCCGTGAGTGGGTGTAAGGTGAATGGCAAGTAGTGTTCAGTGATGTGTAAATGTTTGAGACCTTGACCAACTTAGGCGACCAGTAGCGGCCGAGTTCCAGGATGCCCCAAAATGCTGCATCGCTCCAGCAGGCTCTACCGCTGGACCATTTCTTTCTTCATTGTCACTATTTCAGTCTATTAGCTTCATTGTACATTTAACTAACTTAAACTCGCCTAATTCCACATTCATCATAGAATCGAACACGTGATACCACACACAGTAAGGACAGTAGTTCAATATTCGACATTCAATGTCCCGGATTCACTTATCACAAAATTATAAACAGGGAATTAAAGCGATCTCTTAATGAGTCATACGGTTCAGTGTTAAACACAACTAAGTTCCTTCATTCGACACCTAAACACCACGTCGCGAAAAGAATTCAAAATACGCCTCGTTGACATGTAAACTAACAAGCCAACCAACACACAAAAGGGGGCACTTAACGCAACGGCACAATTATAATGATTTCCTGACAATTAACCGGGAGAAGCTCTCGAACAAGGAATGCGCGGTTCGAATCCTAGACCGTATATCTACTCGACGCGCGCGTGCACAATTCCGCATCCCCGAACAAGTTAAATATTGCAAAATTCACATATCCACGTAACGAAGTAACACGCACTTAATCTAACTATCTGGACCCTACAACGATCGCGTGAACTTCGGCCGCGATAACGAGCTACGTGGGTTCCCCGCGTCGCGGCCAGTGGACAACTCTCACCTCTTCGCCCACGCGTCGAGCCACTGCAAGCCGCACACGGCCGCCCCACCTCGGCGCTTACCTCACATACATACCATCGGGTGAGGCGCCAGCTCGAACGCAATTTGATGGCGTTCAAACATGACCAAATTTGGGCATAAACAATGATAATGGTGATATTGAGTTGGAATCACGCCACTGTTGGACCGTTACCATAAAACGTTTGTTGCAGAGTGGCAGGCGTCGCATCGAAGGTGGCGCGGCTAGTTAGCAGCGCTGCCTCCACCGGTGGGCTGGGCGAGCTGGCCGAGCCCACGGAGTGCGAGAGTAAGACCCTCACATCTGCGCTCAAGAGTTTCTTGCGAGCGTTGCCCGAGCCGTTGCTCACTCGCCGACTGCACGACCAGTTCCTTGCCGCTGCCAGTTAGTATACACAAACCACTTACACGCTATAATAAAAATAATAAAAATGCTTTATTTCACCAATAACTTTATACAAATTAACATGAAGTCCTTGGCTCCGAATGTAGGAAAATGTTTATCTCAGGAGTCAACACTGAATGCAAGGATTTCTATGCATACTACTACACCGAAAATTCAAAACAAAAATTGTGTCACAGCTGCCGATCGCGTGGGCGCCGGCTGGGCGGGTAACTGGCACGGTGAATATGATACGCAGTTGTATTTTCATTTACGACAGCTACTGTTTTTAGGCAAATACGAAATAAAGGTACATACTTATGTAAACTTAACTTCAAATCACATTGACAAAGAGCGCAAGTAAATAATGAACGCGTTTTCTTTATCACATTAAACAAAATCAGTGTTAGATTGTCGAAAACAATGTTTGAGATTTTCAAAACAAAGGACTAGTCTTCTTGCTCGTTTGCTATCGACTAAAGGAACTACGGAGAATTGACCGTAACTTAGTGCGCAATGTATTAAGGCTGCAGTGTCCCTCTGGTAGTATACACAGAAGTATTCGACTGAATGAATAAATTAGTAAAAAAAATAACAAACAAACAAAGAATGAGTATATTGCGTTGCAGTAACGAAAACCACTGTCACAGCCACAGCACTGTAATTCTGCAGTTGCCTTATATTTACTGCGTAGCTGTGGATCACTGTACTGCATAATGCACTCGTATTATTGTATAATTCTTTCGATTACATTTCTTGAAAAAATTGTTCAAGCTTACTATGCTGATCAGATAGATTAGTCTGCGTAGAGTCAACATCCTGGCATAGGTGGTGCTACTCCATATAATATATAATAGACTATGAAGTTAAAAGCCGACATTTTGTGTAATTTTGTCTGTATAGTGTCTATAACAGTTGTTTATAAGAGCCTCGCGTGTCATTCAAAGTGGTGATACTCGTGGGGGTGACGTTAACATGTGGGAAATAGTTCTTAAAGTTCTCTTTATTACCTTTATCAAAACATCTTATTTTTGTATATTTTTATTTTAATCTATTGATTCGATGCCACGTAGCATTGATAAATAATTAGTCATTATTTAACAATTTCTATGAAAGGTTTATATAGCCGCATTGGTCCTTCGAGGCGATGTATTTTAAATTAAACTGATTAAGATACTTACCGACCACTTGATGTTAAGTGACTACTGCAGGCCATGGACACTTGCAACCTAGTTCAAATATAGAAAACTAAGGTTGCGTAATTATAATGAATCTCTATTGGCCAAATACTCAAACGTTACTCAATTTGATTTAAAGTGATAAAGAGAGCACGAGACTTAACGGCCTCAAAAAATTGTTTTATATATATATAGCGTGCAACAACGCACGTACAACACGCACCACTTATTTAATTCAACTTGTAACAGTAACAAAGTATAAGATTAAGATAGTACTACGGATACTTTTGATGATGGGTCACAAAGAAATTCGATCCCGAGGAAGAAAAAATCATCTTTTCACAACGTTTTATTAACTTTATTCACGCTGCATTATGTTACTACAGCTAAATGAAACGATAATTTCATAATAAAATCATGAAAATACTTAAACATAAAACCAGCAGTGGAATTACAATCAGCTAACTAGGGATCAATGTACGCGCAGACGCCGAATTAGCGCGGCCCGCAGCTAGCGATAATACCACAATACTTAATAATTTACAACACTTGTCTAAATACCTAACTTATCTACTTAACGTACTATTTTGCCACCTAGTCACTTTATTCACAGGTTAAATAAACTAAATACCTGGTTCGATTCCCCGCTAATAAAAAAATTACTTAAATGAAACGTTAACAAGGTTAGAGTCATGCTTTTTTATCCATCGTGTAGGTGTGTTTATTATTCTGATGTATTCAGTTATGTACCTATTCAGATGAGTTCAGTACTAAGTTATTTAAAAAAATTAGGTATGAAACAGCTTAGCGATCTAAATCTTATGAGATTCTCCAAGGTGCATTAACGTGTTGCCGTATTTACGAGCACTATAAATGTACCTACGCGTTAGGCATTATTAAAACAATACAAGAAAAACAAAACGTAACAACAAGTAATAACAACAAGAATGTAATAAAAAATCGATTGAACTGTCGCTCACGCGCACGTGATAGTCAACACGAAACTGTCTCAAAAACTAAAATTAATAATCAATCCCGCCAAAATAAATGTGCACGAGGCATTCGTTCGTAACGTCCTTGCAGCATTGAGCACTTCCACAGACTGTTAAACCGTTACGACATTGCCAACGTTTATTTTATTTATAAATTTAGTTATCACTACGACTAGTCTTCATATGGAATTTAGAAATTATGGTTGTCATTTTTAATACAATTACACAATCAATTGTACCCTAACGCAATAAGCAGTTGTTTACTACAAAAATTATATTGAAATTAATAAACGTACCTCATCGTAATTCATCGTTATCTTTGATTTTGTATAAGAAAATAGAAATGAAATGGTACTGAATAATTTAATAGTTAAAATCAATTGCAATCATGATCGTCAGTTAATTAATCTATCAGAGTTAATGTAAAAAATAATACTTTTACTTTATTTTAATTGACTTTCCGTATTTAATCCGACCAATACTTTTAATTTAAAAACAGGTGCGTCAAAATTATTAAAAATTACTTGCATGTTTTATAGTGATTGCCGCCTCTAATTCTTATGTCACCGGCAAACTAAATATCGGTGCAACATGACAGCGTTGCCAACCCAATTTGTCAAATTCCTCAAAAATTTGTGTCAAAAAGATTTACTTTTTAACTAACATTTTTTCTTTAAAATTAAAAAATAAAGAAGTGAAAACCATTAAATGATACACACAGTTTGCCGAAATAAATCCGAAAATAAAATGTGGTGCAATGAAGATAATTAAAAAAGGAAGTCATTCGATATTCTTAAGTAACCTAACAAAATATTAAGATAAGTATTTAGATTTCTTGAAAAAAGGGTCTGAAATGGCTCTGGCTATCGATTTTCAAAATCTCCTTTTTGCCCCGCATAATACCAATCCGCATAAAAGCCTCAACCAACTTTAAATTTCCCGCAATTTTGGGAATTCCCCACATGTTGGCAAAGATGACATGTGTAAATTCCACAGCGCGAGGCGACACGAGTCAGCCGGGCGGCGGTAGCGCGTGTGTGAAAGGAAAGGGTAGAGTGAGTAGGTATTGTTTCGCACCGAGCTAGATAACAGTTCGGTGTTTACGAGAATATTGACCCTATAGTCAGATGATTTTATTTTAAGTTTCACTGCTGGTGTTATGTTTAAGTATTTTCATGATTTTTTTATGAAATTATCGTTCCATTTAGCTGTACTAACATGATGTAGCGTGAATAAAGTTAATAAAACGTGAAAAGATGTTTTTTTTCCTTGGGATCGAATTTCTTTGTGACCCATCATCAAAGGTAGCCTTAGTACTATCGTCTGTCTTCGTTTTCGGGAGCGTTTCACAAACATCCGGTATAAACATAACTGCCTCGTTAGTCTAGTGGTCGTAAACGCGATTTGTTGATCATGAGGTCTCGCTTTCGGAACCCGGGTCTGGCCAAAATCAGTTATTAGGTTTTTCTGTCAAGAAATTCAGTATCAGCGCGATGTCTGTAATTTGGCAGTGTTTAATGCATTCCCATGCCTTGGAAAGCACGTTAAGTAGTTGGTCCTGCCCCTGATCCTCCTCCGGTCGTGACGAATTACCATCTTATCGGACTATGAGAGTGAGGGAATAGAGAGTGCGCCTGTGCTTACGTATACACTTGAGCACTAGAATCCTGTCCTGCGCAGATGTCTAGTGTTCGTTAAAGACTGGCCACTGTGACCGAAATTCGGTCTGGAAGACATTATTAGATTCCTATAAAGATGTTTGTTTGTTTGTGTGGTCGCAGAGCTGGAGCGGCGGGCGGAGCGCGTGGCGGCGCTGCACGCGCTGCTGCTGGCGCTGCCGCACGACAACCGCGCCATGCTGCGCCTCGTGCTGCGCCACCTGCGCAAGTACGCACGCACATACCTACAGACACATACACACGCACCCACACACTGCTGCTGGCGCTGCCGCACGACAACCGCGCCATGCTGCGCCTCGTGCTGCGCCACCTGCGCAAGTACGCACGCACATACCTACAGACACATACACACGCACCCACACACTGCTGCTGGCGCTGCCGCACGACAACCGCGCCATGCTGCGCCTCGTGCTGCGCCACCTGCGCAAGTACGCACGCACATACCTACAGACACATACACACGCACCCACACACTGCTGCTGGCGCTGCCGCACGACAACCGCGCCATGCTGCGCCTCGTGCTGCGCCACCTGCGCAAGTACGCACGCACATACCTACAGACACATACACACGCACCCACACACTGCTGCTGGCGCTGCCGCACGACAACCGCGCCATGCTGCGCCTCGTGCTGCGCCACCTGCGCAAGTACGCACGCACATACCTACAGACACATACACACGCACCCACACACTGCTGCTGGCGCTGCCGCACGACAACCGCGCCATGCTGCGCCTCGTGCTGCGCCACCTGCGCAAGTACGCACGCACATACCTACAGACACATACACACGCACCCACACACTGCTGCTGGCGCTGCCGCACGACAACCGCGCCATGCTGCGCCTCGTGCTGCGCCACCTGCGCAAGTACGCACGCACATACCTACAGACACATACACACGCACCCACACACTGCTGCTGGCGCTGCCGCACGACAACCGCGCCATGCTGCGCCTCGTGCTGCGCCACCTGCGCAAGTACGCACGCACATACCTACAGACACATACACACGCACCCACACACTGCTGCTGGCGCTGCCGCACGACAACCGCGCCATGCTGCGCCTCGTGCTGCGCCACCTGCGCAAGTACGCACGCACATACCTACAGACACATACACACGCACCCACACACTGCTGCTGGCGCTGCCGCACGACAACCGCGCCATGCTGCGCCTCGTGCTGCGCCACCTGCGCAAGTACGCACGCACATACCTACAGACACATACACACGCACCCACACACTGCTGCTGGCGCTGCCGCACGACAACCGCGCCATGCTGCGCCTCGTGCTGCGCCACCTGCGCAAGTACGCACGCACATACCTACAGACACATACACACGCACCCACACACTGCTGCTGGCGCTGCCGCACGACAACCGCGCCATGCTGCGCCTCGTGCTGCGCCACCTGCGCAAGTACGCACGCACATACCTACAGACACATACACACGCACCCACACTCACACGTACACTCACGCAAGCACGCACACGCACGCACACAAGCACGCAAACGTACAAAACCTGTCACAATACACCAAAGAAACTATAATAAATACATTCTGACTGCTTATATAAGTACTTAGACAAACAAACTTATAGTCTTATCTTTTTTTTTTTTTTGCTTCCTTGAAATATTATATTAAATAAACATAAATAAACATATACAAGAAAATAACAAGAAAGCGCTTAAAAAATTCAAAAACCTGTAGAGTCAAAATTTGTCGCTTTTGAGAAATGTGCTTTAAGAATAAGTTCTGGTATATGTTTATAAAAAATACAGATATGTATATAGAGATTTTCTTAAAGTACCTATCACAGATTCACATACATATGTTTATTCACAATTTAATCCTAATGACGCGTATACAATATTTTTAAATCAGTTTAGTCTGATTTGCGATCTTTGTGTGCCAAACAAAAAATTAAAATAACAAATAAAATGAGACCAAGTGGAAAACAAAAGGTAAGAAACAGTATACAAACTGTCATGCTGCGAAAAATAGATAAAAAAGTTATTGCAAAATTGTGAAGGCAGTTACTAAACAAATAAAAAAGAAATTCAAACATTAACTATATAAACCAAAGTAGTAATAAAAGATTTGCTACATACATTTGACAAAAAAACAAAATCAATGACTCGAGTGCAATCCGATTTAAAAAAAAGTTAAGCCTAGATGTACCGCAAGGTAGCATACTAGGCCCACTGATGTTTTTGATTTACATAAACGAGCTTCCTTTACTGATCAACCATCTATGTGTAATGTATGCTGATGATGCTACTATATTCCTACCCAGAGATAAACTAGATAAACTAGATGATGCAAATTTTGTGAATGATATTTATAACACACTGAACACAGTAGTGAACTGGTTAACTTGAATTAATCTAAAAGTAAATCTAAGAAAAACAAAACTAATAGAATTTAGGAATTATAAAAAAGCTCCAATTATTTTAAATGTTATAATCAAATAAATTCAAAAAAATTGAGAAAGTGCATGACATGAGATTTCTGGGTGTCACCATTGATAGTAATTTGAACTGGAAATCACATGTTATGCTTTAATAAGCGGAATCAGAATCTTTAACCATTTACCTATATACATTAAATTAGAAAGCCCACGATTTAAAAAAAAAAGCTTAAAGAATCGCTACTATCAAAATGTTTCTATAATTTAGATGAATTTTTTGGGAGTAATTATTGATTTATTGTAGTGATTTATTATATTTTTTATTATATTGTACGTCCGAAATGGACAAACTGTTGTAACTATACTCTGTATTTGTAATACCTCATGTATACAGTTATCACAATAAATGATTATCTGATCTTGTCATTTTATAAACGTACATAATAAGTCTGCCCGAATTACAATATGCAATCTGTATTTATACCGTCCGTTACAAATACATATTTTGCCTAATTATTACAAGCTAAACTGTGTATTTCAAGACAAACAAGTCAGAGTCGATGTAACTGATTGAGATGAAATGCTTATTACACTCTTATCAGAAAGTTTCATACTGTCCTAGATCTTGATTTTAGACCCGGTGGTAGATGTTGATGTTCGTAAGTGATTTAAGTATTTATGACGTTTATTATTCTCACTATACTATCTTTAAATCAGAAGACAAGTGCCAATGTATACTCAAACAAAACACTTAAGCTGATAAGGACACTTGCTCAATACAAAAATTAAACTACAAGTATCTTATTATAAGATGAAGTGTAATATCGTATACGTATATAATTCGGGTAACTAAAGGTTTACTTGAAATTAATATGGTTTACAAGTTATAATCTTTTAAACGCATTTTTTGAATATTTAACTACGTTTTATAATACGAGAGTACCGCAAGGGTCATCACTTGGCCCGTTTATGTTCTAAATTTACACTTCGAGCAGGTCTATTGTTTAAGGAAAACATTGTCATTAGATGGGCACTATCAGATCATAAGTTAAGAGCATTGAAGTAATATGTACTACGTACTAGAAGAGACGCCTAGACTTGGTGTTTGCAATACGCGTCAGAGCCCACGGGCTCAAACTTTCTTAGTCTGTGCAATAAAAAGTTACTATCTGCCTCACAGATTTTGTTCGCAGTGTATGTTCTAGTACGTAATAACAATAATAATAATAATATTTTCTAGACCTAATTTCGGTGACGGCGGCCAGTCACAACGGAGACTAGCCATCTGCTATGAGCAATCACATCTGTAAAAAAAAAGCTTTTAAAAAGTTACTTCGCAAACATCCGCTCTATAAAATAAAATGATGTGTCTTATCTAGTATGAAGAGCACCTCCCGCCCTTCTTCAATTGCGTGCACTATCCCCGTCACCACTAATCCCAGCACCACTACTCCCAACACCCCTACATTAGGAAAGACACACCACTGACGACAATACGGCACGTGTTTCGCCTCTACACGAGGCATCCTCAGGTGATGTAGACTACGGTGGCTGACCGTTAAGATAGACTTGACCGGTAGACCGTATGTTTGCGAAGTAACTTTTTAAAAGCTTTTATATAATGGATTTCCGCAAAGTAACGCCTGATTCTATTAATTAAATCACAGCTGTATTCTTTATTCCCTCACCCTCATAGTCTGATGGAACGGTAATCCGACACGTCCGGAGAGAGAGGCGCAGGACCAATGGCCTTACGTGCTTTCCGAGACGCGGGGGTAAAACACTGCCAACTTCCTTACTCCGGGTTGTTACTAAGAATTTCTTGACAGAAAAACCGAGCAAATGATTTTTGGCCGTACCCGGAATTTGAACCCGGGACTCATGATCAAGAATCGCGTTTATGACCACTAGACCAACGAGTCGTAACTATGTAGTACATTTTAGTTCAATGGTTAAGGCAGATTTTTTGGTGCAGTGTGGCCGCGAAGAGCGACAAAAACCTGATGACGGCGTCGAACCTGGCCGTGTGCTTCGGGCCCACGCTGCTGAGGCCCGAGCGCGAGACCGTGGCCTCCATCCTGGAGCTGAAGTTCTGCAACGTGCTGGTGGAGACGCTGCTCGACCACTTTGACGCGCTGTTCGATCCCATTCCACCCGCCCCGCCCGCCGCACCTGCCGCCCCGCCCGCCCAACTCGCCGTACGCCCGCCCAATGGGCTGCTTAGGTGAGTAATTTATGCCTTAACAGATTTTAAAGTTACAGATGTCGTTTCATTCCTCTTTATTTTCATAGGGTCAGGCACTAAATTTATTTGTAACAATATCAATAAAACGATCGGAACATATAACATAGTACATGAACATATCATTTTATTCCTTAATAGATATATATTTTAATTTTAAGAAAAGAATACTAGAAGTTCTAATATTACTAATGCAAACGTAACATTCATCTGGTAAACTATGTACTCCACCCAGAAGAAGTGATTTGCTCACAGCTAAGCAACTCCTATTAATTAATGACGTAGGGCTTACCTGTGAACTATAGCCATAACAGCGATTACAATAAATCTTATAGGTCTCAGTGATACTAGTCTTTCTAGACCTGCACAGCTGCTTGCACAATTTAAAAAAAAAACATTATTAATACTCTCGTTAACTAATCAAGTAAGTTCCAAACACTAGCGAAGCCTCCACAGAAGCCGAGAAGCCGGGCTTGCCCTATCAAACTGCTCAATCAATAATATCAACTAATAAAATAACTCCTATACTGTTTCAAACTATTTAATATTTCCCGCGCGCTCCTCTGTTATACATATGCCATAACCTCGTAGCCTTATAATGTAACGTCAATCCTTGGCAGATTGCTTTACAGCGCGATACTGCTGTCATAACAAAGGAATTGATCGTCTCTCTCGCACGCGTGGGCTTTTTACCGGGCTTTCGAGAAGGCGGTCGCTCCCTTTCTAACCTGTGGCAAAATGTTCTATAATGAAATATTACTAGATTACTGTGGCTCAATACTATATTGTTTATATAGTATTGAGCCAAAAGCCGGGCCATTGGTGTGAAGTTAGTATAGCGCGGGGGTGCCCGGGCGATACGTTTGCAACTTCACATTTCAATGTTTACTCTGTGTGCTTACTTGAGCGAATGAATATTGCGCGTTGAAAATTTATGATTTTTTTAAAGATTTTTAGTGAAAATGGAGGATAATAGTGTTCCTTGTGATGAATTGAAGTGTGTTAAAGTGCTAATCGGCGAGGGATAGGTAAAATCTTTAAACTATGTTGAGAAAAAACAGCTCATATCCACATAAATAGGTTATTGGTACGATTAAAACGTTCACCAACATTTTACGCGGACGTAATCAAATCTTTCTTTAAGAAAGAGAGATGATTCGATTTAGAATATAAATATATATTTTTTAATTTTGTACATAGTTTGTTTGTACTTTGTTCATGCTTTTCTTTTGTTCATGTATTGTATTGTATGTAAATATCTTTTTCTTTCGCTCAAGCAAACCTAAACAGCTTTTTCAAAGCCACCAAAGGTATGCATTGGTGTATTTTTATAAAACTGCTAAAAACAACAAAACCATATCTTGGGCTTACCCTAGTTTGGAGCTCTAGCTTCGCCACTGGTTCCAAATCATCCTCGTGTCATGTCGTATCATGTCAAAGTATAGACCACTAGCTTTAATTCCTGTTTTCTCAGAAAATATAGAAAGGTAATCTACGAATCCCTGTATAATTTCTTAACAAAATTTAACTTGCTATGTTAAGAACAAAATACCTTTTTAAAAAAACTGTTTTTTTTTTCGGTTTTTGTAATAAAGTAATGCCAAATGTAGACGCGAAAATACCTATATGTATGATATATGCAGATGCCTCTGATTATGTAAACCATAAATATCCTCTAAATAAACTCCACGCATATGGTATTCGGGGCAAGGCTCATGACTTAATAAATCGTATCTTCATGGTAGTAAGCAGTATACGCGGATAGCAAAGAGGTGTTCTAAAACTAATTTAACTAAAATAAAAGTCCTCTTACTAAGAAATTAAATATGGTGTTCCGCAGAGTAGCGTGCTCGGACCAAAAAAACATAAATGACACCTACCAGGTCAAACTTCCCATTTAATGATACTGAACAGTACGCCGATGATTGAACATCACTTATTAAATTTGTAACTTTGTTAAACACTGCACTCAATGACTTAGGACTCTAATAAACTTGTTTAATCATAACTACTTAATAACAAATATTCAGAAAACTATGATCATCATGCATTTTTACCAACGGATAGCCGTGGAAAACGTGATTATAAATCAGAATGATCAAAGCATAAACAAAGTAAATTTCACAAAATTTATAGGAATTTTAATTGACAATCAACTAACATGGAAGGCTCAAGCAGATGATGTCCACAAAAGAATGTGTACATATATGACCGATGTACTCATTTCAAAAAGGTTAACATAGCAGCATTTTTTATATGTGGCAGGGCCACGCTGCAGTTATATTAGTTGTAGCACGAATGGGTCGGCTCGATCGGGCTAGGACCACGCTCTCACACAACACCAGCTTAAAATAGCAGCTTTATGTCTTATGGTGAGTATGAAAGAACCGGAGACCCTTTTTACTGGAGAGGCATTCCATCACAGATTACTTAATAGTTTACATTCCATCCTAATCCTCAGGGGTGACAACGCATCTTCTCCACTTTCCATCAGGTGGACTGTGTGCTCGTTTGTCATCCTTATTCTATATAACAAAATTTAGTTGCTTAGTTGTTTCTGTTTAAAGATTTGGTGTTATATTTTTTGCCAACTGTAGTGAAAAAAAAAAACATTTTTAAAGCCCAAAAACGCTGCCTCAGAGCTATGTTTAATTTAATAATAACTGACAGCTGTCTACCTATATTTAAGTCGCGTAAAATATAAACACTCCCAAGCCTTTATATTCTGGAATTAGCCATATTTGTGAAAACGAATAAACATCTATCAGCTACCGACGGTAGCCTACCGTGAATGAAACTAGAACACATATCAGAACTTGTTGTGTACAAGAGCTTATAAAACTTCATTGATGACGAAAAATATTACTTGCATGGCACTCGTAATTTTAATAAAATATCGAATTGTGTAAAGATCAACCTTTAAGATTATTAAAAAAATAACAGGTCTTTTAGTAGAAAAAGTTCAGTGCAGTTCTTAACCGATAAGCTATTTTAAATTAATAGTTATGTAAAATTTTATATTAACTACTGTATATGTTAGATGTGCGTGCTGTATTAAAGCACAATGTACAAGGATTCGTTAACAAAATTTAACACCTGATTATTGTCTATCTACATCCATTTCAAAAAAAAAAATCTATTTTATGACTATTTGAGTTATATGGCCGGCCAATTGCCATTTCAGCTTACTGATCCTTGGCCAATATCGTTTATTCTTGTTATTCTTTGTTCTTCTTTGGGATATTTTAGAGGGCTAAAATAGACTAAATTTAATCGGCCACAATCAGATACTTTCTTCGGCAGTTTCGATATCAAAAACAAGTTTGTTCCGGCACTCGCTATATTCCCAAAAATATTGATGGTTTACAAGATAATTAATATATAAACAGTTATGTTGTCTGCTTTCGGGAGTAAAAGCGAATTTTAAAATAATACCACTTGAATGTTAACTTGGACGATTGTATTGATCTCACAACAGTTGGGACAAAGAACCTGTTTAAAATTAACGTCACATAACGTAAATCTACCGACGTAATTACTACGAGTACGTTGTTTGCCTTGTTGCTCAGAAAGAAGACGCAGGCGCTTCAACAGCTTGCATAGTGATGAACGTTACTGACTTTCAACCATTAATCGATATGCAGGAGAAACAACTTGGGCGATAAAACTAAACCTTGGGGAATATAGCTCGGTCGTACGCCGTCGCTAAGTACAAACTAACCGCTTAGGTCTCCTTGTTTGTTGTTTGACACCAGCAGAGTGACGCCATCAGACACTTATTAGCGGTCACTAGTCAGCTGGTTAAAGTTTATAATGGACTCCAATATTTTTGGAGAACAAGGAGGTCTAGATATAGGTCCGTAGTTTATTTTTTTTACGGAATGGGTCCACTAAGTCAGGTTCATTTGACTTATGTATATCCAGGGGAGAGTAGTGCTTGGTAGTTTGTGGATGCAACTCGAGACCCTTTCGTTTCCATCCAATCAACATGAGAATGACTTTTAATTAATATTATTTATATATATTATATATTATATATATTTAGTATATTGAAGAAAAAATCTATTTCTTTTTTCATCGATTGTTAATTTGTCGAATTATTGGGCTGCGCTGTATGATAATTGATTCAAATTAATCTAACAGCTGCTACTTTCAATATATTTCTACGCTATATTGACCTTGTATACGTGATTTGCGGCTTAATACTTTCTCTAATGAACTGTTAAAACAACATCTCATAGATTTCATTAGTATATGTAGTTTTCATCGATTTGGGATAAAGTACGTACGTCGTTGTTCATCAGTATAATTATTCTATTAGGCGCGAACAATTAGTATTTTTATTATTCTCGTTATTTCGTAGTCTTTTCAAGGTCACTCCGCTGACGACGCCTCCGCCGCTGAATCTAAAAAGTCTCTTCTCGAACTATTTTTTTATACGATAATACAAACAAGCGAGTACATAGTCCACCTGATGGTAAGTGGTTGCTGTGGCCCATAGACGTCTACATCAATCCTCGTTTGCGAATCGAAATACAGATGCTTTGTCAGCCGTATGAGGACTAAGATGAGGATTAAGATAACTATTATTGCAGTCGGGTCTATTTTTTATCAATAATTTGTTTGTTTGTCAGGTTTTGCCTGACAAACTAATTTACGACACCTATCAATCGAAAACGTGCATATAATGCAGTTGTTGGTTTCAATATCATAAGCCATTACTACTTAGTTACTGTAACCTGATTGGCCAAGTCCCAAACAGCTGTGCGTGCACTTCTGTGGTCCGGCTAGAAGGGTATACAGAGCCAGTATAGAAGATGATGAAAGTTAAGTTTGTTTCAATTGATTACTAATGCATTATGTACCTAGCAACCGTTAGTACCGTTCAGCTGAACAAGATAAAACATAAAAATAACATTTTTAAAGATAATTTAAAAGCACAATCGTATGCAATCAATGTGTGTTTACGTGACCGATGCACA